CGCGCTGTCAGCGGGTGTGAGTGGGACTGGCGCCATCAGCATGTGGGAGCGGCGGCAGCGGGCTGCTAGCAGAGAGAGGACTGGAGGCTGTGGTGGAAGGGGCTGGGTGGGGGCGCAGAGGATGGGCCGAGACCCGCCTCTGTGCCCACCGCAGCCTCATGGCCCACAGTACCTTTCAAGGTGCACAAATTCATGCACTGGGCCCCTAGTATCCTATATAATAAAAGCCTAATATGCTAAGTGTCTGGTCATCTGTTCAACCAATCAAAGCATAATATGCTAATGATACGCTAAGGCCGCTCAACCACTCGATATGACGTGCACTGGCCACCTGGGGGCAGACAGTCCAACAAGTAGGTTAGCTTGCTGCTGGGGTCTGGCTGATTGGGACTGAGAGAGATGGCCGGACACTCCCTGGAGCCCTCCCGCGGTCCCTCCCTGGCTGGCCAACCTCCCGCATCTCTACCAGCCCAATTGTGCACTGGTGGGGTCCCTCGGCCTGGCCTGCACACTCGCAATTCAGAACCCCTCGGGGGATGTCCAAGAGCCTGTTTTGCCCCTATCCTGCAGGCCAGGCCAAGGGGCCCCACTGGTGCACGAATTCGTGCACTGGGCCTCTAGTATATATATAAGCTCTTTGGTTAATCTCTTCCCACCCTCCCCCCACCCATCTTCCCTCTGAGATTCATCAGTCTCTTCCATGTTTCCATGCCTGTGCGTTGAGCATCTGCCCCCTGGTGGTCAGTGCACATCATAGCTACTGGTCGAACAGTCAGACACTTAGCATATTAGGCTTTTATATATATAGATAATAAATTTTGAAATTAGAAAGTTTGAGCTGTCCAACTTTGTTCTTTTTCAAGATTGTTCTGACTATTCTGGATCCCTTGCATTTCCAGATGAATTTTAGAATCGGTTTGTCAATTTTTGCTAAAAGTTCCAGCTGAGATTTTGATAGGGATTGCAGTGAATTATAGATCACTTTGGGAAGTATTGTCATCACAACAATATTGCCTTCTAATTCACTTATTTAGATCTTTAAATTCTTACAACACTGTTTCTTATACACTGTTTTGTCATTTGCGGTGTATAATTCTCTCTTACACTTTCTTTTGTCAAATGTGTTCTTAAGTATTTTACTCTTCTTGGGGCTTTTGTAATTTGAATCATTTTCTAATTTTATTTTTGGATAGTTTATTGTTAGGTTATAGAAATACATAACAATAATTGATTTTTATATATTGACCTTGTATCTTCAACATCACCAAACTATTTATTAGTTCTAATAGTTTTTTGTAGATTTCTTAGGATTTTCTATATAGAATAGCAAGTTAACTGCAAAAAAAGAGATTATTCTACCTCTTTCTTTCCAATCTGAATGCTCTGTATCTTTTTTTTCCTTGCCTAACTGCCCTGGCTAGAACTTCTACAATATTAAATGGAAATAATAAAAGCAGACATCTTTGTGGTGCTCCTTATTTGGGGGCCACAAAATTCAGTCTTTTTATGTTAAGTATGAATGCTAGTTGTGAGTTTTCATAGATGCTTTTTGTCAGATTGAGGAAATTCTCTTATATTGTTAATTTCTTCAGCATTATTATCTTGAAAGAAGGTTGGATTTTGTCAAATGTTTTTTCTGCATCTGCTGCCATAATAATGTGGCTTTTGTCCTTTAGTCTGTTAATGTGGTATGTTACATTAATTGATTTTGGGGTGTGGAATAAGGCTCACTAGTAATTCTCTGCTTTCTACAACTTACATTATAGGACTGTTGTATTGCTGCTTTTGCTGCTATCAAATAGTGTTTGACAGTCATTCATTTGATGGGGATTTGGGGTGTTTTTTTAAATTGAGTTTTAGAAAGATGTAGGGAGAGAAACATCGATTTGCTGTTCCACATATTTATGTATTCATTGGTTGATTCTTGTATATGCCCTGATCAAGGATCTAACCTGCAACCTTGGCATATCAGGACGATGCTCTAATCTTTTGGTATTTTTCTTTTTGCTGTTGTTTTTCTTGTTTTTTTGGTTGTTGGGAGAATAAGGGAGATTTAAGAACTATGCTGCTACGATGATTTTCTAAGTGAGACTAGAACACAATGCCTATGATAGATTTGAATTTTAAGTCTTTAGTTTCATTAATTAGGTAGACTTAAATAAGAATATAGGTCTGAACCCAACAACTCCACTTCTGGGATTATATCAGAAGAAATCCAAAACACTGATTCCAAAGAATATATACACCAACAGCGTTATTTATAATAGCCAAGATTTGGAAGCAGCCCAAGTGCCCATTAGTAGATGAGTAGATAAAAAGGCTGTGGTACATTTACACAATGGAATACTGCTTGGTTGTGAAAAAAAAAAGTATATTTTACCTTTCCTGACAGCATGGATGGACCTAGAGAGTATTATGCTAAGTGAAATAAAACAGTCAGAGAAAGACAAGTATGATATGATTTTACTTATATGTGGAATCTAATGAACAAAATAAAATCAGCCTTGGCTGGTTCTTCAGTGGATAGAGCTTCGGCCTGGGGACTGAAGGGTCTTGGGTTTGATTCCCGGCCAAGGGCATGTACCTCAGTTGCAGGTTCAATCCCTGGCCCCGGTCGGGGCTAGAGCAGAAGGCAACCAATTGCTGTGTCTCTCTCACATCGATGTTTCTCTCTCTCCCTTCCCCTCCTCTCCCTCCCTTCCATTTTCTCTAAAAAAGTCAGTGGAGCCCTAACCGGTTTGGCTCAGTGGATAGAGCGTCAGCCTGTAGACTGAAAAGTCCCAGGTTCGATTCCAGTCAAGGGCATGTACCTTGGTTGCGGGCACATCCCCAGTAGGAGGTGTGTAGAAGGCAGCTGATAGATGTTTCTCTCTCATCGATGTTTCTAACTCTCTATCCCTCTCCCTTCCTCTCTGTAAAAAATCAATAAAATATATATTTTTAAAATCAATGAAAAAAATATCCTTGGATGAGGATTAAAAAAAGAAAAAGAAAAAAAGAGAATCAGATTCAGAACACAGACTGTCAGCTGTTAGAGGGGAGGGGCATTGGGAGGATGGCTGGAAAGGTGACGGGATTAAGCAAAAATCCAAACCAAAACAAAAAACCCTTAGGTATGGTGATTACCAGAGAGAAAGGGAGTGAGGGAAGGTAGAAGAGGGTAAAGGAGGGGATAAGTGGTGATGGAAGGAGACTTGACTTTGGGTGTTGAACACACAATATAATATCCAGATGATGTATTATGGAATTGTGCACCTGAAACATACATAATTTTATTAACTGATGTCACCCCAATGAATTCAGTAAAAATTTAAAAAAAGAATATAGGTCTGACTATTTAAGATGTATGAAGATTTTGAAATTTAATATGTTATTTATGATGCAGGGAATCATCCAAAGTGCATATAAGTGAAAATAAAGCCCAAAAGTTTATGGAGAAAGACCACTGTTTTTGACCAGTAGGTACTTAAGAGGTCTTTAGTAGCTTAAAGAGTTGATGAGAATGTAATTCCCTGTATCTCAAAATGAGGTCCAGTAACCAACAGCATTGGTATCACATGGGAGCTTTTGGAAATGCAGAATCTTAGATCAGCTCACATTTACTGATTCAGAATCTGCATTTTAACTAGATCTTAGGAGATTACTGTACATATTACCATTTGAGAAGCTCTGATGTATTTACTCTCATAGTATGAGTTTGGGCAATAGGACTATATGCCTTTTTAAAAGATTGATCACATTAACTGATACTATAAAAATTTTTTATTGATCTCACAGAGGAAGTGGGGGAGAGAGAGAGAGAAAGAGAAAGAGAGAGAAACATCAATGATCAGAGAGGAACATTGATTGGCTGTTTTTTGCACGCCCCCAACTCAGGATGGAACCTACAACCCAGGCATGTGCCCTAACCAGGAATCAAACTGTGACCTCCTGGTTCATAGGTCGACACTCAACCATTGAGCCATGCTAGCTGGGCTGATACTTTTTTTTTTAAAGTTTATAAAGATATAAGTTGTACAAAAGAAAAAGAAAAGTTGTGCACCTGAAGCCCTAAAACTAATAAAAGGAAATTTTTTTCAATGTAGTCCAACTATAATATGATTGCTATTAGGACCAAAAATAATATACTTACGTTTTTAATATGCTAGTATATAGCAACTGTCTTCATTTACCATGTATAAAGGAGATCATTCATCTCTAGCTTTACTATTTTGATTGATGTTAACTTAAAAATAACTTATCCTCACCTTGTTCAGAAAGGTTTTAATATTGTTTTATCATTTTATTATAAACTGATAATTGAAGGGATTTATTTATGTAATATATGTAATATTTATAGTCAAAGAGAAGAATACTGCCTGGCTGACATGGCTCAGTGGTTGAACATCAACCTATAGACCAAGAAGTCACGGTTTGATTCCTGGTCAGGGGACATGCCCAGGTTGCAGTCTCCATCCCTAGTAGGGGGCAGAGAGAAGGCAACTGATCAGTGATTCTCTCTCATCATTGATGTTTCTCTTTTGTTCTCTCTCCCTTCCTCTCTGAAATCTTAAAAAAAGAAAGAAAAGAATACTATAATTATATATCAGAACCTGTTTACTTCAGAATTATTCTATTATTTGTAAACTAGAGGCCCAATGCATGACATTTGTGCACAGGGGGAGAGGGTCCCTCAGCCCGGCCTGCACCCTCTCGCAGTCTGGGACCCCTGAGGGGTCCTTAGCACTGCCATGGAGGCAGGAGAGGCTCCCGCCACTGCTGCTGCGCTTGCCAGCCATGATCCTGGCTTCTGGCTGAGCAGTGCTCCCCTGTGGGAGCGCACTGATCACCAGGGGGCAGCTGCTACGTTGAGCGTCTGCCCCCTGGTAGTCAGTGTGCATCATAGCAACCAGTCGTTCCTCTGTTTGGTCGATTTGCATATTAGCCTTTTATTATATAGGATCACAGCATTATTGTATGTTTATATGATTAGAGAGTAAATGGTCCTTTTTATATTTTAGATCTTGGTAATGTTCTAACTTCTCCTCCAAACGCCAAAACTGTTAATGGTAAAGCTGAAAGCAGTGATAGTGGAGCTGAGTCTGAGGAAGAAGAGGCCCAAGAAGAAGTGAAAGGAGCAGAACAAAGTGATAATGGTAATCTTTGGATGGTGGGATAATAATTTTACATTAACTAAGATAAAAGGATATGGAGAGGTTTGGGCTGATTTGGCATTGTAGGAAGTGGTGGGATGTGAGTTATTGACCCTATAACCAGGTTTTTGTGTTCCAAAAGGGCTATAGAAACAGCCAGGCTTACGCATAGGTGGAACAGATGTCCATTGAAGGCTAACAGAAATAGGCCACTCTTCCCAATGTGATACCTGAAATGCTGCATTAGAAATATATTCCTTTAGTGTATTGTTTCCAATATGCATGTGTTATCAAGGAGAGGAGATAATCATACTCTGAATATCTTGTCAAGAATAGAGTGGAATCAAGAGAATAGGATTCAAGCAAAAGGTTTTTTGTTTGTTTTTTAACCCAAGGATATGGTTTTTTACTGATTTTTTTTTTTCAAAAGGGGAAGGAAGAGAGAAGGAGAGAGAGGAACATTGATGTATGAGAAAAACATCGATATGTTGCCTCCTATACTTGCCAGGTATTGATCCCACAATCTAGGTATATGCTCTGACCAAGAATTGAACTGGTAACTTTTCAGTGCACAGGCTGACTCTCCAACCAACTGAGCCACATGGTCAGGGCCAGGTAGAAGTTTTGACAAAGAGGGAAGATTGGAATCATGGGGCCCTGAATTAGAGGATCCTTGTTAGTAAGAGTACCAGTGATTCTTGGGAAGATTGTTTTAGAAAGGAGGCAGAAAGACACTAAAACAAACTGCCCAGTTTAAGTTTGCCTTCTGGTTCCATTAAGACAAGACAAGTAATACTTTCTTTGAAGGATCTCTTTATTTGCTATATGTACCCCTTTGTACTGCTGGGTCTCATAGAACAATTTGCTTTTCCTGAGAGAGTGTGAAGACCTTGAGAGACTATCTCTCAAAGGAGGTTCTGGGACATTTACAGTGAACTGAAACAGTTTTGAAACCAATACAGTTCGTGTGAGTTCTTAGCATATAAAACACCCCTTTTCTAGGAGCACCCCATCGCTCTGCTCCTAGTAGGAAACCCTTCAAAGGGATATGGGTAGGTTGATATCAGAACAGAGTATGCAGAAGTTGACCTAATGTGAACTTTTATGAATCTCTCCAATTTCACATAAAAGATAAGAAAATGATGAAGAAATCCACAGAGCATAAGAATTTGGAAATCATTATCACTAATGGCTATGATAAAGACAGCTTTGTTCAGGATGTACAGAATGATATCCATGCCAGTTCTTCCCCGAGTGGCAGAAGCACTGAAGTAAAACCTGCAGATCAAAACTTGGAGCAAACTGGAAAACCTGCTGTCTGCATTCACCAAGGTATTCTCCCATATTTATTTGTTGAGTCTGTTTCCTATGAATAAGGTATTCTTTTAATAATTTCAAGATATTAGGAGCAATTTAGAATTTAAAATCTCTTATTCAATAGTATATAAGGGTTTATTTATATTATAAGGGTTTATATCTTTGAAAGATAGTGAATTAGGACCAGGGTTTTTATGTTTTTCATTGAGATTTTTAATTTGTTTTTATATAGCATTTTAAAATAAAATTTTGAAATTTTTTTCAATTGATTTGAGAGAGAGACAGAAAGGGGGGGGAGGAGAGAGAGAGAGAGACAGACATTGATGTCAGAGAGGAACATGTACACTCCCCAAATGGGTATCAAACCCACAACCTGGGTATGTACCCTGACCAGGAATCAAACCCACAGCCTCTTGGTGTATGGGATGACGCTCCAACCAAGCCACACTGGCCAGGGCAAATTTTGAAATTTTTACTCTTATTCCTGATGTTTCTTTTAACTTAAAACTCTGATTATAGGATACCTTTATCCTCAATCAGCAAGGTAAGCTATACTCTTTTCATATTTTAGGGCTGTAGGGGTGAGCCTATAATATATATATGGTGAATTATTAACATTATTGCAATTCAGCCAAGTAACTAAGAAATATAATTTCTAAATGGTACAATCAAACTTGCAATAGTCATCTAACTTTAGGCTTCCTAGCTGCTATTCAGTTTTCCCTTATAAGGTTACTGAGTTCTATAAGGTTTGATCTGGGCAGTATCTTTGTATAATTCCATTGTAAAGTACTTTGATATCTTTTCATATAAAAATTATCAACTAAATTTAATGTTTTGGTAAGTTAAAAGAAAAAAAAGTGTGGCTTGGTAAATTTGTCTCCCAGTATGAAAATAATATAGAGCTAATCAATTTTGAAAATAGGATAAATGCATTTTTTCTTCAGTTAGAGAATAATTATTCTATCTGGGCATTTTTTCATCTTTAGATATAAATGATGATCATGTTGAAGATGTTTCAGGAATTCAGCATTTGACAAGTGATTCAGACAGTGAAGTTTACTGTGATTCCATGGAACAACTTGGCCAGGAAGAGGTAAAAATGACATTAAAAAAAAATTCTTTATTGTTGAAAATGTTACATATGTCCCCATTTTTCCCCCATTAATCCCCTACAATCCACCCCTGCCCCCTGCCCTAGACCCTCACCACCCCATTATTAGTGAAAAATGACATTTTTTGATTGGCAAGTTTTCAAACTGGTATATCAGAATTTGATGCATAACTTCTTTTTGTTTTTAAATATATATATTTTTTATTTATTTCAGAGAGGAAAGGAGAGGGAGAGAGACATAGAAACATTAATGATGAGAAAGAATCATAGATCGGCTGCCTTCTGCATGCCCCACACTGGGGATCGAGCCCACAACCTAGACATGTGCCCTGACCGGGAATCAAACAGTGACCTCCTGATTCATGGGTTGATACTCAACCACTGAGCTATGTCAGCCAGGCTTGCTGCATAACTTCTGTTAATACCAGATATACATGCTGTTCATCATTTTGAAAACTTACCTCTAAAATGTTTAAACATTTCTATTTTAAATTTTGTTTTGTGAATTAGAAAATATATTAAATTCCTGAATATTCAAAATAATTTAACTATTATATTTTATAATATTTGTAAATATTCTGAGAGGTAGGATGGGTAGGCAGACAGTAAACTTATTCTAGTCCCTATGTTTGAAACATTGATTAACATTTAAGAAAATCAAATAATTTTGAAACAAATCTGTACTTGACATTGACTTTAATATGTTGAACTGAAAGTTTGAGTTGAAATTCTTTTCAAATTTTAGTTAAGATTCAGTATTAGAAGCTATCACTTAAAAATTATTAAAACTACATGAATTAAAACAATTTTTTATTAATTTGAGAGAGAGAGAGACATGGATTTGTTATTCCACTTATTTATGCATTCATGGTTGATTCTTGTATGTGCCCTATCTATGAATTGCAATCTTGGCGTATCGGGACGATGTTCCAACTAACTGAGCTGCCTGGCCAGGGCAAAACTACATGGTTTTTTTTTCCCCCCTCTTTGACAACTTTTTCTGTTAATGACTAGCAGCTTTGACAGCTGTATTTATGTTTGGTGGTTTTGAATCCTACCACTATTTCCCTTCCCTTGTTCTAAAAGTTCAGGGTGCCTTATAGAAAATTATTTCTCTTTTGCCTCCCTGAAGTAATGATTTTAACTTTTTCTCTTTGTGTTTCCCCTTTTTAAAAATGTTATAATGTGCCCTAACCGGTTTGGCTCAGTGGATAGAGCATCAGCCTGTGGACTGAAAGGTCCCGGATTCGATTCCGGCCAAGGGCATGTACCTTGGTTGTGGGCACTTCCCCAGTAGGAGGTGTGCAAGAGGCAGCTGATCGATGTTTCTCTCCTATCGATGTTTCTATCTCTCCATCCCTTTCCCTTCCTCTCTGTAAAAAAAATCAATAAAATATATTTTTTTAAAAAGGTTATAATGCATCTAAATTTACCTCTTAACTTTCTCAAAAAATTAAAAAAATATATTTTTATTGATTTTGAGAGAAAGAGAGAGAGAGGGAAACATCAATCCATTGCCTCCCCTACCAAGGATCAAACCTGAAACCCTGGTATATGCCTGATTAGGAATTGAACCGGCAACCTTTTTTTTTTAATATTTTTATTGATTTCAGAGAGAAAGGGAATGGGAGAGATAAATAGAAACATTAATGATGAGAGAGAATCATCCATCAGCTGCCTCCTGCATGCCCACTACTGGAGATTGAGCCTGCAACCTGGGCATGTGCCCTTGACCAGAATTGAACCTGGGATCCTTCAGTCTGCAGGCTGACGCTGTATTCACTGAGCCAAACCAGCTATGGCTACTTTTTTCTTTTTAAAAAGATTTTATTGGGGAAGTTTGGTGATAAAGAACTAGATGAGATTAATCAGTAAATATTTGGTTACTAGATTCTAGGTTTGCTCCTATTCTATTTAATAAAAGCCTAATATGTTAAGTGTCCTACCATTCGTTTGACCGTTCAACCAGTCGCTATGACGCACACTGACCACCAGGGGGCAGATGCTCCAACCGGTAGATTAGCTGGCTGCTGGGGTCCGGCTGACTGGGACTGGGCGAGACGGGCTGGGCACACCCTGGAGCCCTCCTGTGGTCCCTCCCCAGCCCCGATTGTGTGCCGTTGGGGTCCTTCGGCCTGGCCTGCGCCATCTTGCAATCCGGGACCCCTTGGAGGATGTCGGGAGAGCCAGTTTTGGCCCAATCTCCGCAGGCCAGGCCAAGGAACCCCACTGGTGCATGAATCCGTGCACCAGGCCTCTAGTTTTCTCTATAAGTCAGTTGATAGACTAAACTCCTTCATGGAGCTCTGCCTGAACTGGCTCCTACTTATCTTTTTGGCCTCTGTTCACATTACTCTCATGTTTGGGCTTTGCTCATACCTACCCTAGCCTTCCCTCTGTTCCTCTAATAAGGCCCGCAAAATCATTTGGTCTGGCCCTGCCAAGGCATTAGGAGTGACTTATTTAAGTATTTAACCAAATATAGCAGGCTTTTTTTAAGTTGCTATTTTGTATGGCCTGCGAATGATGTTATAAATATCCAAGTGGCCTTTGGCGGGAAAAGGTTCCCCACCCCTGCTCTAATATGCCAACCCATCTCCCCTTCTTTCTTCCAGCACCAGCATCTTTGCATTCATTTTGCTGGAATATAATACACCATTCATTGCTGCATACACAGAGTTTACTCCTTCACGTCCTTTAAACCCTAATGCAAATGTCCGTTCTTGAAGGGAACCTTCTTAGATAAGATGCAGCCCTACCACATCACCCATCCTCACTAAGAGTAGATTAATTATAAGTTGTCACGCACAATTTTTTAGGTGGGTACTTTAAAAAATATGTGTAATTTCTATGATCAATTTTGGAATCCTTAAGAATCAAGTTGTTTTTCCAAGTTCTATTTGTGAACAACTAATACCACATTTATTTTTTGCCTATTATGATTTGAACATTTTCTTTTTCTTATTATTTTCCACTTACAAAGTACTTCTAAAAAATTTATAATTTCCTCTTGAGTGTACCAATTAAGCATGTTTCTATCCCAATATACATAACAAGAGTAAATTATATTTTTTAAAATTTTGTATACTTATTGTATTTATCATGTTGCAATAAAGCATTTAGTCTGATAATATTTAGGATTTGTTTCAGAATAATTCACTGGAGATGAGCATGGGAGTCATAGGTAAAATAAAACAAGAGTAGCCCTGGCCCTAGCACGTTTGGCTCAATGGATAGAGCGTTGGCCTGTGGACTGAAAGGTACCGGGTTCGATTCCAGCCAAGGGCACATGCCCGGATTGCAGGCTTGATCCCCAGTAGGGGCTGGGCAGAAGGCAGCCAATCAATGATTCTCTCTCATCATTGATGTTTCTCTCTCTTCCTCCCTCTCCCTTCCTCTCTTAAATCAATAAAGAAATATATTTTTAAAAAAAAGTGGCCTTGAAGTGATAATTGTTGAAACAGTGATTGGTACTCTAGTATGTTTGAAATTTTCCATAATAAAAAGTTTAAAAATAAGATTATAGTCTGTAGAATGTTTGTTTCTCATGTTGCTGCTGTAATAGTTTTCTTTCCTTTTTTTCCTTCTTCCACGAGAACATTGAATTCACTTATATTCTATGTACAATTACACCATCATTATTATTGCTCTGTAGTTCAGTTATCACTTTATAATGAGTTCCTTTTACTGTACTTTCTTTTAAATATATTTTATTGATTTTTTACAGAGAGGAAGGGAGAGGAATAGAGAGTTAAAAACATCGATGAGAGAGAAACATCGATCAGCTGCCTCCTGCACACTCCATGCTGGGGATGTGCCCGCAACCAAGGTACGTGCCCTTGCCCGGAATCGAACCTGGGACCCTTGAGTCCGCAGGCTGACGCTCTATCCACTGAGCCAAACCTGTGAGGGCTTACTGTACTTTCTTATGACTTCTAGAATAACATGAAGAGTCATTATTTATTTTGTCCTCAAGCTTTATCTGTTTTTTATCCATTGAGGTATTAGTCAATCTGCTAGTATAATTAAAATCTTTTTTATTATCTGATCTATTTTTAATTTAAACTCATTCTCTTTTGTTTGTTTGTTCATTTGTTTTTGTTAATCCTCATCTGAGGATTTTTTTCCCATTAATCTTTAGAGAGAGAGTGGAAGGGAGGTAAGAGGGGAAAGAGAGACAGAAACAGAGACAGAGAAATATCGATGTGAGAGACATCAATTGGGTGCCTACCGCATGTGCCCTGACCAGGGCTGGGAATGGAATCTGCAACCTAGGTACATGCCCTTGACTGGGAATCGAATCAGTGACTCTTTGGTGCACAGGCTGACATTGTAACCACTAAGCAACACGGGTCAGGGCTAAGCTCATTCTTTTTAAAATATATATATATTTTTATTGATTTCAGAGAGGAAGGGAGAGGGAGAGAGAGATAGAAACATCAATGATGAGAATCATTGATCGGCTGTCTCCTGCACACCACCTACTGGGGATCAAGCCTGCAACCTGGGTATGTGCCCTTGACCAGAATCAAACCCGGGACCTTTCAGTCCGCAGGCTGATTCTCTATCCACTGAGCCAAACCAGCAAGAGCAAAGGTTGAGATTTTAAAAGAGCAAATTATTAGCAGTTACTACTTTACAGAAGCTGAAAACAAACCATGTTCTAGAACAGTGGTTCTCAACCTTCTGGCCCTTTAAATACAGTTCCTCATGTTGTGACCCAACCATAAAATTATTTTCGTTGCTACTTCATAACTGTAATGTTGCTACTGTTATGAATCGTAATGTAAATATCTGATATGCAGGATGGTCTTAGGCGACCCCTGTGAAAGGGTCGTTCGACCACCAAAGGGGTCGCGACCCACAGATTGAGAACCGCTGTTCTAGAATAACCACTTAATGGAATAGATAATGGTTTGGAAGTACTGTTCTGAAACTGAAATTGATATTTGAAGATATGAAATATTATATATATATAAATAAATAAAAATAAATAAATGAATATACATATCTATATTTCTGATATTTCAAACCAGAATACCAATGCATACCAGTAGAACATTTGCAATTTTATCAGGTGAGTTAGATTTCTAAGATAAGAGTATAAGAGAGAGAAACATTTTAGATTTTTTTCTTTTCCCTTTCTTTTATACATTCTCCTTATCTATTAAGCAGTACTTTTCAAATTTTAATGGGGAGCTTGTGATAGTACAGATGCTTGGGCCTAAACCCCAGGTTTTCTCATTTCATAGGTCTGGGATGGGACCCACGAATTTACATTTCTAATCAGCTTTCAGTTGATGCTAATGCTGCAGGTCTGCAGACCACACTTTGAGTAGCACCTAAAGCATAAGGAGCCGAAACCGGTTTGGCTCAGTGGATAGAGCGTCAGCCTGTGGACTGAAAGGTCCCAGGTTCGATTCCGGTCAAGGGCATGTACCTTGGTTGCGGGCACATCCACAGTAGGAGATGTGCAGGAGGCAGCTGATCGATGTTTCTCTCTCATCGATGTTTCTAACTCTCTATCTCTCTCCCTTCCTCTCTGTAAAAAGTCAATAAAGTATATTAAAAAAAAAAAAAGCATAAGAAGCTAGAGTTCTACCAGAATGGGAGGTGTGGGTAGGGGATTGATATTTATTAGTCCCATTTCACCTTTTCCTTGCTTTCATAAAGTAAATTTGTTTTCTGCTGCACTGAGAAGATAGAAGCTCTTAGGTTGTTACTCCAACTTCATGCCTGGACACTTACGTCTTTGACTTACTGACTCTAAGCTACACCCATTCAGTCTTTGTCACCTTCCCACCTCAAGCCAATTTCTCTAAAATGTATTATATTTTCTCTCACCTCTTTGGGAACCTTCATTTTTTATACCTTCCAGACTATTCCCAACCAATGTCCCTCTTCTGGTTCTTTTTTTCTCTCAAGCTATTATACTTCTTCCATCTTTAAAAGAAAAGATTCTCTGAACCTTCTGATGCCTTCTAAATATTGTCTTATCTCCCTCCTCCCCTTTCTAGTCAGGCTTTTTGTTGGTTGTGTTCATTCATGATATTGATTCTCTTCAGATATGTATCATCATGCCTTTGTTGCTAATTTTTGTTTGTTTGTTTGTTGCTAATTTGAATGGATGCTTTACATTTCCCATCTCACTTGAATATCATTAAACAATATTAGCTACTTTGTCCTTGCAAATATTTCCTTGGCTTCCATTACACCATTTTTTAAGAGCTTCTTTTTATATTTCTAAGGTCCTTTGTAACCTTCCTCTGTGAGTTTTTCTTCCTCTTGTTGACCTCTTAAATTTGGTGTTCTTCAGGCATATATTCCTAATTATTACTACCTTGATTTTAACCATCAATTACATGCTAAATACTCTCAAAGTGATATCTCCAAGCTATATCTCTCTTCTGAATTCTAACTGCCCTATAAGACATCTTGCTTAGGAATCTCAATTTTTTTACTTATCTATAACCACACCATTGTCTGTTTTTGTCCCCTGAATCTCCTTATCCTCTATATTTCTTTTGATGGGTTTCACAAATCATGTAGTCTTTTTCTTTCCCTTACTCCCCACATTCAGTCTTCAAGTCCTATAGATTCTGTAATCTCAAACGTTCTCAAATCATCCTCTATCCCACTACTATGTTATTGGTACATGCTATCATCATTACCACCATTACCACACTTTGGAATTGGCTTATACTCATCTGTTCTTAAAGTTTTGTGGGGGGTTTTTTTTTTTACAGAAAACAAAAGAAATTTATTATCTCATAGTTCTAGAAGTATAGGGAGGCTAGAAATCTGAAATCAAGTTATCAGCAGAGCTGTGCTCCTCTGAAGGCTCCAGGGGACAATCTGTTCCGTGCTTCATCTAGCTCTCCTGGCCCCAAGGGCTCCCTGACTTGGGACCTCCATCTTTATATGGCTACCTCTTCCCTATGTTGTTCTTCAAGTTTTAGTTCATATCATTTCTTCCAGGAAGGCTGTCCTGACCAAGCCCAGTATGAGCTCCTATAACAGCCTTTGTATATCATTTTCATTATACTTATCAAACTATGTTTTAATAATATTCTCTCTTTTGCTAAGAGTAGAAGCCTCTTGCAGAGATTCTCTTTTTTTTCATATTTATCCTTACAGTTTAGCATAGTAACTAGGCTAAAGTAGACATTTAAATGTTTCTTGGATGAATGAGTAACTCATGAGAACAATTTATTGCCATAATTTCTCAATTCTTTGTTCATGGATGATTCATTTCTATCCCATTTTTTCCCTACATATAGGAGGCAGAATATGAATTGAAGAATTTTAAATAAAAATAATACTTTCATAATAGCATGAAATTTTTTTTTTATAAAAACAGTGATCTGTTAACAAGAAAACTTTGTGGTATATAATTTGTGTTTGTAGCTTTTTAATTAAGTCTTGTTTTAAATTTGTAGTCTTTAGATAGCTTTACATCAAACAATGGACCATATCGATATTACTTGGGTGGTGATCCCAATAAGCCCTTGGAAAATTCTGGTTTTCCTGAAGATGTTCAAATTTCTCCTGGAAATGGCAACATTGGGGAGATGCAGGTGGCAGCAGTCGAAGGAAAAGGTGAAGTAAAGCATGGAGGAGAAGATGGCAGAAGTAACAGTGGAGCGCCACACCCTGAGAAACGGGGTGGAGAAAATGAGGAATTCTCTAATGTCAGAAGAGGGAGAGGTGTGTATTCTTTCTTTCTTTCTTTTTTTCTTTCTTCCTTTCTTTCTTTCTTTCTCCCTTCCCTTTTTTAAAAATTTCTAGTTCTCTCCTTCTATTCCACAAGGCATAGTGGTGTTTTCTCTAAAAATATGGGGAGGGGGCATTTCTATATTTTTATTTTTTATGCGATTTTTTGAGGCAGCCAACTTTCACTCACTGCGTAGTCACTTAGCAGTTCCTCCAACTGTGCTGATGCTTATTTTACTTACTTTTGATAAAAATTAAAATTCTTTGTCTTTTTTACATTTTTTCACTTAAGTCAAAAGATATCATTTCACGTTGACAACTCAGATACATAAAATGTTACAACAAATAAAAGAATATTTAACAATAAAAAAGTAAGCATTAAGAATAATAATGTGACCCTGGCTGGCTTGGCTCAGTGGATAAAGCGTCGGCCTGCAGACTGAAGGGTCCCAGGTTCGATTCCGGTTAGGGGCACATGCCTGGGTTGTGGGCTTGGTCCCCGGTGGGGGGTGTGCAGGAGGCAGCCGATCGGTGATTCCCTCTTGTCATTGATGTTTCTATCTCTCTCTCCTTCTCCCTTCCTCTCTGAAATCCATAAAGAAATGTATATTTAAAAAAAAAAGAAAAAAGAAGAAGAATGTGATGAGGTAATAGAGAGTTGAATGGGGAAGAAAAGTAAATAATTGTTCATAGTAAGGAATGAATAGATATTGTCAAAAAAGAGAATTAATGTAAAGACAAATGCCATGTTATCTCACTTATGTGGAATTTAAAAAACAAACAAACAAAAACAAGCTCATAAATACAGAGAACAGATTGCAGATTGGTGGTTCCCAGAGGTGGAAAGAGGGCAAAATGGGTGAAGGTGGTTGAAAGGTACAAACTTTTAGTTATAAAATAAATAAGTCATGGAGATGTAATATACAACATGACTACAGTTAAATGATTCTATATTATATATTTGAAAATTACTAAGAGAATAGATCTTAAAAGTTCTTATCACAAGAAAACAAATCTGTAACTACATATGGTGACGGATGTTAACTAGACTTATTGTGGTGATCATTTCGCAATATATACAAATACCAAATCATTATGTTGTACACCTAAAATAAAAGGAAAATCCCTGTTTAATTTTATGAGGTCATAAAACATTAAAGGATTATCTGTGAATTTGGTTGAAAAAAACCTACATAAAACAAATTAAGACATGGTTTTGTGAATACTGCTGCTTTAGGGTTCCAGGATTCTGAAGGGCAATGAGGTAGATAATTTTCGGTTTATTGTGGAAAACAAAACAAGCAGCCCTAGTTGGTTTGGCTCAGTGGATACAGCGTCGGCCTGCAGACTCAAGGGTCCCAGGTTCAATTCCAATCAAGGGAATGTACCTTGGTTGCGGGCACATACCCAGTAGGGAGTGTGCAGGAGGCAGCTGATCGATGTTTCTCTCTCATTGATGTTTCTAACTCTCTATCCCTCTCCCTTCCTCTCTGTAAAAAAATCAATAAAATATATTAAAAACAAACAAAAATACAACAAGCAAAACTTACCCATTATATTAGCAAATGTAAAAACTTAAAGTATTTCATTTCTGCAAAGGTAGGGTAGCATGGTGGTACCTTTTATACATTGCAGTACAGAACATCTCAGCCTTTCTAAAAAATAGCTTGGCAACACTCGTGAGGAACTGCCACAGAGTTGTTAACCCTTGACCCAGTAATTCTTCTTCAAATCTTTCTGTCCTAAAAAAATCAGCAGAAATCTAGACAAGAATTTATATACAAAGACATTTATTTCAATGTTATTTGTAATTGCAAAAATTTGAATTGATCGTAACTATCCAAAAGTGGATAATAAGATTGAATAAATTACTTTATGTCTTACTAGGGAATTTATGCAGCCATTTCAATGTTTTTGGAATAAAACTCAATGATTATAAATGTTTATAGTATTTTTTTAAAGTAGGATACAAAATCATGTATAAGGGGTAATGCCAATTCTGTAAATATATGCATAGAAAAAAATAAATGGATATATAGTAACATTTTTATAGTAATGAGATTTTAATATTTATACAAATGTAATGGAATTTATAATAAGCATTTTATTTTTATATTTTTAAAACATTTTTTGTTTTTATTTTATTATTATTAATATACATATCTTTTATTGATTTCAGAGAGGAGGGAGAGGGAGAGAGAGATGGAAACATCAATGAGAATCATTGATCGGCTGCCTCTTGCATGCCCCCTATTGGGAATCAAGCATGCAGCTCCGGGCATATGCCCTTGACTGGAATAGAACCTGGAGCACTTTAGTCCACAAGACGATGCTCTATCCACTGAGCCAAACCAGCGAGTGCCAAGAAAAGCATTTTAAATCACTTGAGAGACTTACAGTGACCAGAAAGGAAAATATAGCTATTTAATATAGTTTTTAATACTCTAAAGAAAGTCTTCAAATATTTCCAATCTTGTTATTTTTAGTAAAGAATTTTTGAGAATGCACCCTGAATATGTATGCATCATTTGTGAATTATATGCATTTAGTCATGTACTAGTATATTAAGTACATTATAAAACATTAAACAAAAATCTAAGAATATATCAATATAAATAGAAGTGTACATATCTATTCTTTGACCCCAGTAATTTATTTTGTGTAGTTCCTGATTGCTCCCACTCCACTTAGGAGAGTTAGATCTTAAATAATAGGAAAATGAATAAAACACACCATTTCTACTTTTACAGGAATAACTTACAACTAACCTCTTTTGCTCTCTTAAAATAGGACATAGGATGCAACATTTGAGCGAAGGAACCAAGGGTCGACAAATGGGAAGTGGAGGTGATGGGGAACGCTGGGGTTCAGATAGAGGAACAAGAGGCAGCCTCAATGAGCAGATTGCTCTTGTGCTCATGCGACTGCAGGAGGACATGCAGAACGTCCTTCAGAGACTTCATAAACTGGAAACACTAACAGCTTCCCAGGTAAGCTTCCAAGTATATCTTCTACTTGTTGATGTTTTGAAACTGTATAATCTATATTGATCAGATTTACAGAAATCAATGTATTTTAATGATTAAAAAATAAATAAATAGGACCTACTTTCGAAAATATTACTTCAAACTGACCCAAAAGCTAAATGCCAGTTAAAATAATAGTAAAATTTTAGTGTAAATTAGCAGTACCATTTTGGAGGAAGGATAGGTTGCTTGGTGGTAGAAGAATAAGAACTTTAAAAATAGTTTAATTTAAGTAACTAATAAATAGATCATACCTAATGCCTTAGAGTTCATCATTAAAGAGTCATTCTTTTGTAGTAAATATTGTCCTCTATCTTGACCTCTTTTAAAAATGCTGTAGAGCCCTGACTGGTGTGGCTTAGTGGTTGAGCATTGATCTATGAACCAGGAGGTCAGGGGACTTGCCTGGGTTGTGGGCTCAATTCCTGATCCCTGGCCAGGGATGTGCAGGAAGCAGCCCATCAATGTTCCATTCTAACATCGATGTTTTGCTCTCTCTCTCTCTCCCTCTCCTTTCCTCTCTAAAAATCAATAAAACAATAAAATCTTTTTAAAAAATGCTGTAAAGATATGTTAAGTTACTGATTCTTTTTGTTGTTGTTAATCCTTATCCAAGGATATGTTTCCATTGATCTTTTTAGAGAGAATGAGAGAGGAGAAGACAGAAACATCGATGTGAGAGAGACACATTGATTAGTGTGATGTTTCTCTTTCCTTGATGTTTTTATCTCTCCCTCCCTTCCACTCTCCCTAAAAATCAATGGAAAAAATAGCCTCTAGTGAGGATTAACAAAACAGAAAAAGAAAGAAAATTCACTCGAAAAGGAGATTCAAATGTGTGTGCCCCAAGGAGGGCTGCCCCTACCCAGGTTTTAATGACTACCTCTCTACTGAAAGCTCAGTATTTCCAAAGAAACTATATGACAGCAACTTTATGAATCTGGGCAAACTTGATACAGAAAAATAGTCACAAAAAGTAATACATTAAGAGTAGTCATTTGGACTTACTTAACAGGTCTGCTCTTAGTATTTAATTCATGGATAATTTATTATTATTTCACATTTTAATTGTATTTCTTTTTAAAACATTTACATTGACTTGAGAGAGAAAGGGAGAGGGAGAGAGAGAGATAGAAACATCAACGCTAAGAGAGAATAATCGATCAGCTGCCTCCTGCATGCCCTCTACTGAGGATCGAGCCCACAACCTGGGCATATGCCCTGACCAGGAATCAAACTGTCAACCTCTTGGTTGATTGATGCTCAATCAACTGTACCACACTGGCCAGATGGAGTCCTTGTCTTTTTTAAAAAAGATTCTGACAGATTAAGGACTTTCCCCCTTAAATTTTGCGTAATTCATTTGTATGAATGAAAATTTGCATAAATAGCCCAGCCAGGGCAATTCTCTGGATATTTTATTCTTTTAAGTATATTAAAAATAAAATTTTAGCCCTGGCCAGTTAGCTCAGTTGATTAGAGCATTGTCCTAATATGCCAAAGTTGGGATTTAATCTCTGGTCAGGGCATATACAAGAAGCAACCAATAAATGCATAAATAAATAGAACAACAAATCAATGTTTCTCTCTCTTTGACAAGTATCATTGAGTTTTTTCTTTAACAATATATATGGATAAATATCATTAAAGCAAAAAATTATGGTGCTTATTATATAAGTACTAGAGGCCCCATGCACGAAATTTTTGCATAGGTGGCGTCCCCAGGCCTGGTTGGCAATCAGGGCTGATCAGGTTCCCAGCCTCCCCACCTCCCCACTCCTTCCCTCACCACCCGTGTCTGCTGCCACCCACCCCCAGTTCCCAGGAACAGGCCCTGATCAGGCGATCAGGACCTACCGGCGGCGGGGAGGGACTGGGAGGTTGCTGGAGGCCCCAATCAGGTGATCCGCCTGCAGGCTAGGGGGAGGAACCAACTACCACTGCAGCAGATGGGCAGCAGGCTGATTGGGGCCTGCTGGCCAGGGGAGGGACGAGGGGAGGGACCCAGGAGGTTGCCTGCTGGCCCCAAGGAGGGAGCTGCCCTCGGCCGCCCTGGGAAAGGGGCCATGTCTGCTGCCACCCACCCCCCGCTCCCCGTCCCAGCCTGGGGGCCCAGCCCAATCAGGCAATCGGGGACTGCTGGCCAGGGGGAGGGACCAGGAGGTTGGCCAGCAGGCTCCATTGGCGATCGGAGCCTGCGGGCTGGGAGCAGCTCCTGCGTTGAGCGTCTGCCCCCTAGTGGTCAGTGTGCATCATAGCAACCAGTCGTTCCGTCATAATGGTCGCTTAGGCTTTTATATATAGATAGATTGCCAGTTACTTTTTAGTTGTAAGCAAGTGCCTTTGGGAATCTTCATTTGCCTTTCCAGAACATTTGTTACTTAGAAAAAAAATTTACTTATAGTTGCATTTATTCTGATTCTGTCTTAGTATTTGTTAGTAGTTGCTGATTTGCTCACCTTGAGTTCCTTTCTAAATCATACTGACTTATAGGACCTTGGATAAATCATCAGATACCTGGGAGCTCAACTTTGTAAATCTACCCTCTATTTCTTTTTTTAAAAAACATTTTTAAAAATATATTTTATTGATTTTTGACAGAGAGGAAGAGAGAGGGATAGAGAGTTAGAAACATCGATGAGAGAGAAACATTGATCAGCTGCCTCCTGCACACCCCCTACTGCGGATGTGCCTGCAACCAAGGGACATGCCCTTCACCGGAATCAAACCTGGGACCCTTCAGTCCACAGGCTGGCACTCTATCCACTGAGCCAAACCGGTTAGGGCTACCTTCTATTTCTTTTTTTTTTCTCGTATCATATTAAACTGATAAGAACAGATACTACACTTGATCTTAGCCAAAAGGCCGAGAAGTGATACCTTCTATTTCTTAAGCCTGAAGAAGTGCCATTAAAGTGAATTTTTTGGTTAGATATTATTATGCCTGCAAGGTACTATTACAAGAGCGTTATAAAAATCTTTACCTTTTCTGGATTGTTTCCACATTTGCAACTTGAGTATACTAGAACTGTAACTTCTTTAACACCTTAATGGTCTGAAGACTTAGTGCAACATCCAGAGAAAATTAATTTAGTTTTACCTGTAAGGTGTAGTCAAACTGGGCCACACACATTTGCCAGCAGCAGGCTCCCTCCCACCCTGGGTCTTAGCACTTGCTGTTCTCTCTGCACAGAAGTAACCCACATAGCTTACAATTGTTCTTTGTTTAGGTCTTTGCTCAAATTTCAGCAAAGCCTTCCTGGGCCGCTCCTGCTTCTAAGCTTTCCCTCCTCCAATATGTCTCATCTCCCTTCTCTGTTTTATTTTTCTTTATGACATTTATCACTACCTGACATACAGTATATTTTACTGATTTATTTGTTATTACCTGTAGCCTTCCATTAGAATATAAGCTTCATTAAGTCAGCGATTTTTGTCACTTTGCTCAATGCCCAGAATAGTGACTACTACATAATAGACACTCAGTAAATTTTTATTGAATGAATCAATGAATGATCTCATTAATCTTTATACCATTTCTCTGAAGTTATAATTAATGGAGAAACTGGAATAATAAGTTTCTAACATCTAGCCTAAAGAAACTTGTGTTTGGGATGAGCTTTGTTTCCTAAATTAGTTTCAAATTTTTCTCCTTAATATATACTTCTCATTAAAAAAACCTGCAATATGCCCGACCACCATGGCGCAGTGGCTGAGCATCAACCTATGAACCAGGATGTCACCAGTTTGATTCCTGGTCAGGGCACATGTCTGGTTTGCAGGTTCCATCCCCAGGGCAGGAGGCAGCCAATCACTGATTCTCTCTCATTATTATTATTTTTTTTCTCTCTCTCATTATTGATATTTCTATCTGTCTCTCTCCCTTCCTCACTGAAATAAAAAATATATTACAAAATAAGAAAAAAATAAAAACCTACAATACTCCTCCCCCAAAGGTAATTATGTGAGGTGTTAATTAACTTGAGTATGGTAATCATTTCCTAATGCCTCATTTATATGAGGCATGTGGCCAACTGGCTGCAAGTTTGCCATGCCTGTCCTAATGTATACGTATATCAAATCTTCAAGTTGTATATTTTAAATATATATAATTTTATTTGTCAATTATACCTAAATGAAGCTGGAAAAAAGTTAACACTAATAATACATTTTTCAAATCTATCAATATCTCTTTTGCTATAACTTATTATGGAGTTCCAAAACATATCTTTGGATATCATTTATATAATCTTTACAATTTTTTGTTGTTGTTAATCCTCACCTGTGGATATACTTTTCCCATTGATTTTTTGGAAAGAGTGGAAGGGAGAGAGGGAGGGAGGAGGAGAGATAGAAAAAAATTGATGAGTGAGAAACATATTGCTTTCTCCCTCATGCACCCTGACCAGGTCCCAGGATCGATTCTGCAACCTAGGCACGTGCCCTTGACTGGGAATCACACCTGAGACCCTTTGGTCCATGGGCGATTCTAACTGTTTAGCAATACTCGTCAGGGCTAATCTTTACATTTTTAATTAATGATGAAGACTGCAGTTCTCAAGTGTGTTTGTAAATTGGTAGTTTGTATGGAAATTAAAGATTTCTAACCAACTGGCCAGGTAGCTCAGTTGGTTAGAACGTCATTCTGATACACCAGGGTTGTGAGTTTGATCATTCGTCAGGGCACATACAAGAAGCAACCAATGAATGCATAAGTGTAACAACAAATCAATATTTTTTTCTCTCTTCCCTTTCTTTCCCTCTTTCTCTCTAAAAATCAATAAATAGCCCTGGCTGGTGTGGCTCAGTTGGTTGGGTGATGTCCTGTGCACCTTAAGATTGCAGATTCGATTCCCGGTTAGGGCACGTATCCAAATTGCAGGCTTGATCCTCAGTAGGAGGCATGCAGGAGGCAGCAGATTTTTTTGCTCACATCGATATTTTTTTCTCTCTCTCTCCCTTTTCCTTCCTCTCTCTCTAAGTCAATAAAAATATTTTTAAAATAAAAAAATCCATAAATTCATGAGAAAAGTTGATTAGGTAATTAAATAAGAATGTAAAATAAGTAATGGTTTAGGTTAATTTAAGGTGTTTTTTGTTGTTGTTGTTGCTTTAAACGTTTTTATTGATTTCAGAGAGAAAGAGGGAGGGAGAGAGAGAGAGATAGAAACATCCATGATGAAGAGAATCATCGATTGGTTGCCTCCTGTGTGCCCTCTACTGGGGATCCAGCCTGACAGAATCAAACTGAGACCTCCTGGTTCATAGCTCAACGGTCAACTTACTGAGCCACACCATCAGGCAATTTAAGATTTTGATAATTTCTAAAATTTAAAATATAAAACGTCAAAAGTATTTATTAGGCTAGTAATTTCAAGGACCTTAAAAAATGCTAGGGACCTTGTCATTTGGTCAATATGGTTTTCAGGATAATCAAATCATAACAGAAGAAGAGAGAATAAACTAATTTCAGTTTTGTTTTTAAGATAGGAAATTGAAAAATTACTGTAGCCCTATCTGGTTTGGCTCAGAGGATAGAGTGTTGGTCTGTGGACTGAAGGGTCCGGGTTTGATTCCCTGCAAGGGCACATACCTGAGTTGTGGGCTCGCAGTAGGGGCATGCAGGAGGCAGCTGATCAATGATTCTCATCATTGATGTTTCTATCTCTCTCTCCTTTCCTTTCTGAAATCAATAAAAATATATTTTAAAAAAAGAAAAATTATTGTATTTTTCTTTTTTATCAAAGCTAAATCACTTTCATTTGTATTTATAGGCAAAATCATCAACCTTACAGACTAGTAATCTGCCTCCCTCACAGGTAAGAAATCTTTTTTAAATCTAAGAGCCAGTGTTTCAAGTAAGTTACAGTTAATTTAGATTATATCAAGCCCTTAAAGAATTCCAGATGACATCTACCCTTTAGGACTTTGAAATTAAAAGCATATATTTATTTTGTGTTTATTTAAGTCTGAACTACTCCTGAAAGTTTATTTGCCAAATTATTGTCTGAAATACAGATTATCCTCCTCTCTTTATCAGGTGATTTATTATTAGTTACATATTTTCAGAATTATGAATTGTTTTTAAGTTTATACATACAATATGTAATAGATTGCTGACCAGCTTATTTTATTTTGTTAGAGATCATCGTGGTGGCCCTTCGAGATGTCTCCTGGTGCATTAACCTTTGCTATCGTATGGCCTTTTATTGCCCAGTGGTTGGTGTATTTATATTATCAAAGAAGGAGAAGGTAATATAGTTTTATAATTCAAAGTGGTGCATAAACTCTTAATAAAGAAGAGCCTTTAGCTGCAGTTAAAAGGATAGGCCCATTTCATAGATATATTGTCATACTGAATGTTGTACTGATCCTGAGATAGAAATTATTTTGGAAATGATACATGGTGGGTTTCTAGGTACTTGTTGGACTTAAGCCTTTTTTCACTTGAGAGTATATGGTAGATTTATGCACCTTTGATTTAAGCAACAATAACAAAATGGTTATAGGCTTACTTTTATGGCTTATGAAGAAACAATGTTCTTGAAGTCTGATCTTTACTTTGGGCCCCTTACTAATAAAAAGGACAATGGAGCCCTGGACAGTTTTGCTGAGGGTTAGAGTGTCAGCCCTTGGACCAGTAAAGGGCACATACCTGGGTTGCAGGTTTGATCACTGCACCAGTCAGGGCAGGTGTAGGAAGCAACCAATCAATGTGTCTCTCACATTGATGTTTCTCTCTTCCTCCCTTCTACTCTCCCTAAAAATCAATGGAAAAAATATCCTCAGGTGAGAATTAAAGAAAAAAATAAGCCCTAAGGATAGGTAAAAAAACAAACAAACAAACAAACAAAAAAACCTGCATGCTCTCTATACCTATGAAATATAGATATTGATTTTCAGAAAATGCTCAGCTTGTAGTTGAACATTCTCTAGAAATAGGGATTATTCTTATTTGAGGGCCAGGAATTCCAGTTTGGGATGCTAGGAGGTAGCTCAGATAAATCTGAGAATAAGAGATTGCAATTCTTGAAAGTGCTCTGAGATTATCTAGGTTAGGAATACCTGAGGCCAAAACTCTTGGGTTCAAGAAAATCCTTAAAACACTCTTTTGGGCACTATATAAACTGAGTTACTTTCCATGGATGGGCCCATAGAAAATTGCTTACCTCACTGCTGGCCTCACTGATTATGTTTTGGTATTATGTCACCATTTCCCATTAAGTGAGAACAGATGGGGAAAAGAAATAGGGAACTTAATAATAAGATTTTGAGTGCAGTAGAAATAAATATTTAAAAATATGCAGGTTTACATAATAATGGGTGTGTTGTTCCTCTACCAAAGAACCCAAGTTTCTAATTATTACATTTGATAACAAAAAGCAAAAACCAAACATTTGCCTTTCTCTATGGAGGGATTATCAGACACTAGTATAAATGCTCCAGTTATCCTATCTAATAAAAGAGAAACATGGTAATTAGCCGTACCTCCGCTACCCTTCCCATTGGCTAATCAGCGAGATATGCAAATTAACTGCCAGCCAAGATGGCGGCCGGCAGCCAGGCAGCTTGAAGCTAACAGGAGGCTTGCTTGCTCCAGTGACGGAGGAAGCCAACGTGCCCCGCCTGCCGCTGCCGGCCTCTGAGCTTGCAGTTTGAAACATTGTTACAAATATAGAAGCTAAGCAAAACCCCAGAAACCTGCTTTCGGCCAGCCGGGATCTCAGAGCTGGAGTTGAAACAGTGTTTCGATTATAGAACCGAAACAAACCAGATACCTGCTTTCAGCAGCCGAGGCCTCAGAGCTGGAGCCAAGCCTCAGAGCTAAAGCTGGCCCAGAATAAAAA